ATAATCAATCACCATTTTCAATCACAAAAAACCCATTTTTTTTGTAGTGTGTGTGTTGGAATAGGCCCAACACCCAAACAGGGTCGTGCATAGGCCCAACACTCAAACAGGGCCGTGCATAACGGGCCTAGGTTACCACCCATTAGCCCAAGCTAAAGGAGCTTCAGTACAAGCACACCCATGTGACCAGCGCCACACGGGTCAAGGGGAGGCTTACACGTGCAGATGGATGTCAGCACCAAGGGGCTATAAATACCCCCCAACTACCTCCGATGAAGGTAATTAATCTCTACGCTTCTCTCTCTGCAATTACTCCTTGAGAGCCTCTCTCTCTAGAACACTGAGTATTGCTGACTTGAGCGTCGAAGTGTTTTCCCCGAGGAAACAACCTCGGGATTTTGCAGGTGTAGAAGCAGCTGAGGACTTCAACAGTGTTGGACTGCGAAGCTGTCGAAACATTGGCGTCGTCTGTGGGAACACGTACAAGGAGTCGTGTAGCTTTACTTGTTGAAAGATAGTATGGTTCGTACCTTTACAGGAGGTCGCCCTCCAAGAAATGAAATGGACGAACAGGAGGACACTCACGTATCCGAGCCCGGCTTGAATGACTTTAGGCCAATGCCAAGAAATCTTTTTGTAGGAGGAGCCGAACAGGATCACCTAAGTGAGACAGATGATGAAAGAACACCAACTGGGTATGCAACCCAGCCTGAACAGTTCCAAGTTCCAACAGGAACAAGACAGAGATCTGCCAGACCGTACAATTCACAGCATGAACGACCTGAAAGGTCAACAGAACCTGCTCGAACAACCGAGCTCGAAGAGAGAACTAGAGTTCTCGAAATGGCAATGGGTAAAATCCTTGCCCATTTAATTCCTGATGACCCCTTGATTCCTTTGCTGAACAGAGATGCACAACCGGCTGCGGTTGTTGCAACTCGAAACTCCCCCGCTCTCAGCAACATAGTAGTGCCGACTAGGCCAAGGGGAAGCGGGAAGTTGAATATCGAGCCCAGCTCGTCCAAACATAGTGAAGAACTGATGAGAAAAAACGCAGACCTGGAAAGACAGCTGCGGGACGTACAAAAGTCTATTGACGAGCTGAAAAGTCCTAGGTCGCATCAATAGACTCTGGATTTGGATAGTGCACCACTAAACTTATCTATTACGGCGGAGCCGTATCAAGAGGGATTCAAAATTCCCCACCTGGAGACATATGATGGCTCGGGTGACCCTGATGAACATCTGCACACCTATCAAGCCATCATGAGAATCCAAAACGCCAATGATGCCATGATGTGCAAAGTGTTCCCAGCAACACTCAAGTCAACAGTCAAGAGATGGTATCACAAGCTCCCTAGACATGTAATAGATTCATTTTCCCAGCTCGCCAAGCTATTTTCTAACAAATTTGCAAGCCAAAGGGAGATCAAGCGCACAGCAACCGAGCTGATGCAAGTTAACCAGAAGGAAGAAGAATCTTTGAGGGATTACATGCAGCGATTCAACAAAGCCACCTTGGACATTGATAACGTCCCAAACACGATCTGCCTGTCCGCCCTGTTGCATGGGTTGAAGCGCGGCCGGTTTCTAGACGACCTGCTTGAAAACCCACCAAAAACGTGGAACGAGGTGAATGACAGGTCGGCCAGCTTTATACTGTCAGAGGACTTTCAGTCGTCCAAGCGACGAGCTGATGACAAGCCGAGCAAAGGCCAGGAACAACAACCGAGAAGAGAAGAGAAGAAGAAACAGAAGGTCAGTGAGCAATGGGGGAAACCAGCTGAGTTCCCGAAATATGCCAATTACATCCCTTTGACCTTACCTAGGTCTCAAATCCTGGCACAAATCCAGCACTGGGTTAGGAGACCTCCACCCCCATTACATGATTCCCCGAGGGCAGATAAGAGCAAGCATTGTGACTACCATCGTGTATATGGTCACAATACAGAGGATTGCCAACACTTGAAGGACGAGTTGGAGTTTTTGGCTCGTAACGAGAAGTTAGAAGGGTATGTTCAGAAGCCTCACACCCAGCAACCCGCTCAAACCCATTTTGTACAGGCGTATGACCGACCTCAAGGGCAGAGGTACCAGCTCGGCGGGACACAAGATGTATATCAGGATAACCAGTATCCTCATGAGCAGGGCAGACCATACCGAGGGCGTTCGTTCAACAGGAGAGGACAGGGACCGAGAACTACTGTCCCAAATCAAAAAGACAGGAAAGGGGTAGGTTATGCTGGAATACCCCCACCCTCTGGTACCATAAACATGATATCAGGCGGTGTTCATTTCGGGGGCCAAAGCGCCCGAGGCCGCAAGGCGTATGCACGCTAGGTGATGACAGTTAACAAAAACAGGCCTTTGAAACGCCCGTTCGAAGAGCCAGAATGGGAACATGCCCCCATCACATTCAGCCCGGCAGACTACAAATGAGCAGAAGGAGAACCTGATATTATGATGCCCCATGCAGATCCCTTTGTGGCAACAGTTCATATAGGCAATCATAATGTCAATAAAGTATTCATTGACACTGGCAGTTCACCATATATCCTGTACTGGAGTTGCTTCCAGAAGATGAAGCTAAATCCGAGCTCGTTGCGGAAGCATGAAGGCCCAATATACGAGTTCGATAACCAGCCCGTCCCGGTTGAGGGAGTTATTACTCTTCCTATATATGTGGGCTCAGAACCCCACTTAAGAATGGCTTCCGTCACCTTCCTGGTCGTTAAGATGGAATCAACTTTCAATGCTATATTAGGAAGAGCCACCCTGTGCGAGCTGAAGGCTATTATCTCACAGCCCCATCTCTGTATGAAATTCCCAGCTCCTCATGGGGTAGGAGTGTTGAAAGGGAATCAGGAGATGGCCAGAGCCTGCTATCAAGACACGTTCAAGAAGGTCGAGCTCGCTGCAGCCCCGGCAAGTGCTGAAGGCCGCAAGCCAACCCAGCCTGTTCAACAAACAATGAGTATATCAGACATTGAGCATCGACCTGAGAGCGTTGAGCAGAAGGCAGAACCAGTAGAGCCAGTGGAAACAGTGCCTTTAAACCTAGATGTGCCGGAGAGAACAGTGAAGATCGGCACTAAACTCACA